TGTAGTACCCGATACCCTCTCTCGCTATGATATGGACGAAATCTCGGTAAACGTACCTAAGCTCATTGACCTAACTTCAGTTTCTTTAAGTCTGATAGAAACGGTCAAGAAAAATGCCGATCAATTGCCGGATTTAAAGGTCGTCGATGGTTTTGTTTACAAACGTACTAAGTCTTACGACGGTATAGCTACGAATGAAGATTTTGCGTGGTAGTTATGGGTACCGCTAGAACTGACAGAGGACATTATAAAAGCATGTCATGATTCCCCCCAGGCGTCTCATGGAGGCGTTGGGAAGACTCTTTATAGAGTAAAAGAATATTTTTACTGGCCAAATCAAAATGTCCAAGTCAGAAACTACGTAAGAATGTGCCAAACCTGCAAGGAAGCTAAGCCAGCGAATACTACGCTCAGACCACCGATGGGAGCCGAAATCCAAACTGAACGCCCGTTCCAAAGAATTTTCATTGATTTTCTCGGTCCGTACCCGCGGTCGAAGAACGGAAACGTTTTTATTTTCATCGTCTTAGATCATTTGACTAAGTTCGTTTTTTTGAAGGCCTTGCCTAAAGCCAGCACCAAGAATGTTGTGAAATTTTTAATCACAGAGGTTTTCCATAAGTTTGGAACTCCGGAAACAATCGTTTCGGACAATGGAAAGCAGTTCGTAAGTAAAGAATTCGCGGATATGATAAAGAATTTCGGTGTCAGACATGTTAGAACGGCAACTCACTCGCCGCAAGCTAATGCATCCGAGCGGGTTAACCAATCTATCTTAGCAGCCGTAAGGTCGTATCTGCAGGAAGACCATACAGAATGGGACAAGCATTTGTCCGAAATTGAGTTTTCCTTAAGGTCTTCCGTGCAGTCGTCGATAGGAGTTACGCCTTATTTCGCCTTATTCGGAATGAACATGATTGGCCATGGTAGTGTATACCAGTTGGCACGAAAACTGAGAATCTTAAACGATCCCGAAACTAACGTCATTCCGAATGCTGATAGATTGGATTTGATACGGCAGAGAATTCGCGAAAATCTACATAAGGCCTACGCTAGCAACGAAAAATCGTATAACACGCGGTGTCGTCCAGTCAAATTCATACCCGGTCAAGAAGTCTACCGACGGTACTTCCAGCAGAGCGATTTTAAAAACAATTTCAACGCCAAACTCGCCCGAAAATTTCTAAAATGCCGAATCGTCCGACCAGTCGGAAACAGTTTATATGAGGTCGAAGATTTTCAGGGGAAATCGTTAGGGGTATTTCACGCCAAAGATTTGAAGCAATAGCTTCAATATCTTTGGTGGTTCTAGTCCTGACATTTCTTCCTGAATATCTACTGGTTGACAGCGTCTACTAGTCACCTAAAGTGCGCCTAAATGGGTATCTATTTTTTTTTTTTTTTTAAATACCTTCTGTTGAGTCTTCATAGTAATCTGTATTTTTCTTTTTCTAATTTGCAGTGAATTTCTGTTTGGTATAGTTATTGTTGTGTCCTGAGCAGTACTGAGATCTGTACATAACTTTCATTTATATCGTAGTCCAGTGAGATCCATAGCTTCTTTGGAATGAGTAATTATTTGTTTGGATCGACTTAAGGCCAACGTTTCTTAGCTGATTACATGTGTAACCGGTCATTACCCTATTAGAAGGTGCAACCCCATCAAAGCCTTCCGGTACCGTGCCATTCAAGGCGTAAGGGTTATTAGTCACCTAGGGCAATGACGCAATTCTGAGTCCGATCTTACAGCGAGCCGATACCAAAGGTAACGATTGGGACAATACATATTGGAAGACCAACATGTAGTTGTTCATTCCGTAAGCAGATTGTCACTGGCTGAGATATAAATGATTGGTAGTACAGAATCGTCAGTTTTGTCCAGAATATAATCAGTAACTATACTAAACACAATTCATTTGAATTCAGTAATAATAACAAGTAGTTTAGGACCTAGTTTCATAGTTTTTCTAAACTTTATTTTGTTATTACTACCGAATTCTGCACTAAATTATAAAAGATATGGTTCCGATGGAGTCCGACGTAAACTACCTTAAACTAGCTGTCCAGTCAACAGAATATATTTTCTAATCTAATCTACGATTCTAAATATTCACTCACCCGGATTATCTGCTTCATCATCTGCTCTCAATTTAGCCTCTCTATTGTTGTTGTTGTAGTTGTTGCTACCTGAAGAAAAGTTCGGAAGACTTTAGTTAAGATTCAAATAATTTTTAAATTTAAATTTTCGATATTATTTTATAATACTTGCCAATTCCACTGAATTCTTTTGAGTTGGCATCATAGGGTTCGTTCTTCACGAGGCATTTGAATTCCCACAGAACCTGTATGAAACAAAATATTATTAATATATACCCTTTTAGTTGAGAAAAGAAAAATTCCAAAAGAAATAATAATGAATTTGTCGGAGAACATTTCTCTTGTATAATGCTTCTTTAGGGCTTTTTCAAATCTCAACAGCACTTATACTAGTAAATTAATTTTGTTTTTATATTACTGTTTGGAAATGTCAAGGGGTATTTCTCGCCATAGATCGAAGGATTTATCCTCAAATCTTTGGTGAATCTAGTCCTTGCATTTCCCACCTAGCTCTTTAACACAAGACTTACCTGAGTCTTCATTGAAGTCCATGTCTTCTATTCTAGTTTCCCCATAATGAATTAATAATCTGGAAAGAGAGAAAATATATATAAGGAAAAGCATTAGAAATAGGAAATAATATTCAGAGAAAATGAAAATTCAAAATTTTATAAAAATTATAAAAAAATATAGAAAAAGGATAAAAAAAATATAATAAAAAAAAAACTATAAGTTACAAAAAAAAAATCTGAATTAACTATTATTTGTGAATTTTTTTTTATTTGTCACTTTTATTTTAAGACTTTTAGTTTTCATTAGCTTTTTAGTTCACAGCACTTTTAGTGAACACCATTCGTTTTACTAATTATTCGCCATAGTTTTATCTTTTTACATTTTTTTCACTTTATCATTTTCACGTCATTTCTAATTAATCACTCCGTTTTTAAAATTTTAGTTCATTTCAGTAATTTTCTTAGATTTTCGATTTGCACTGTCACACAAGTGTTGCACACCACTGTAAAAAAATTTTTAAGTTTCAATTAATTAACAACACCATAGCCCAGTTTAATAGTTTTATTTCTTTGTTTTGTTTCAAAAACTCACACTTTTATCCGCCACTGTATTTTCCAAAATTAGTTTTATTTTACACAACACAGTTTCTTCACACACAGTCAAAATATTCACTTAACACCATAGAATAATTTTTTTATTGTGTCACAACACTTTTGTTTTTCACTGTATTCTTTTATTTTTGTTTTACACCAGCTTAATTTATCATCACTTTAGTTTCAGTTTCACTTTCATTTTTATTCACTATTATTTTTATTTTAAAAACACCGTACACTTTTAATCGTCACTGTAAATTCCGTTTTTAGTTTTATTTTTTTTTATTCCCCGTCAACAATTCATTCGCACAATAGTTTAATTTTATTTTCACTTTTATTTTTTTATTTCACTTTTATCGCACACTGTATATTCCATTTTTATTTTTATTCACAGACACAAATCCGTTGTACACAATAGTTTCACTTAATTTCTTTTTTTTTTCTTCTTTAATTTTTCACTTTAATTTTGTTTTACACAGCACTTTTGTTCCGCACTGTAATTTCTGGAAAAATAATTTTTAGATTTTAAATTGTTACCGGCAATAATTTATTAATTTTTTTTTAAGTTTTTTTATTTTTGAATAGTCCGTCCGCGCACTTTTTGTACTCACTGTATTTTCCAAATTTTATTTTTTTTTATCACAATAACACATTACACTCACTTAAAACACTTTTATTTAGTTTTATTCACACACACTTTTCACACTCACTGTAGTTTCCAAAAATCCATAATAACACTTTAGCTTTTATTTTTAAAACACTTTATTTTAAATTTTACACTTAAAATCCATTTTCACTTACCTTGCACATGTCCAACTCCAGAAATTACATCAGCACCTACCCAATAGCTAACTGTAGCCACATTCCTGAAAGAAACAAACAAAAAAAAATGTATTAAGAATTTTTGTTAACCTTGAATGAATTAAAATAATTTATACTTACCAATTTTCCACCAGAATCTGCAGCATCTTCCGTCTTTTCCTGAAAAGAAAATATAAAAAATTAAATTAATATTTTGGCTAAAATTTTGCAATAAAATTTATAAATAAAATAAATTCAAAAGTAAAAATTTCATTAATAAATACTTACCACCGCCATTGAAATATATTAATAAATGCGTATTTTTGCATTTTCTCTCCTCCCCTTCCATTTCATTCAAACAGCTGTGAAGTTCAGAGTACGTCGCCGACGACCTGTTTTAACGGCGGTACAGAGTCGCACTTTTGTTTGTGAATGGAATAAGGGTTGCCATATTGCAAATTTTTTGTTAGGAATAAAAAAATGCCCAAAATTCCGGAAAATTTTTAAAATTAGGGAAGTTCATAAAATTCAGGGCGCAAATTTTTCCACCCCATTCTATATCCATAAATGGATTACAGAATGGTACGGTTTGTCGTGTGCACCCTGTAGTAGGGCAAAATTTAAAAAGAAGAAGACGAAAAGAGAAGTTGGCAACGCGGCTGTACAAACTAACTGACAGCTGGAAAATGTAAACAAAAACAAAACTATAATGTAAAAAAACTATACGGTTTAGATAAATGGCTGAAATGGTGTTAAATTGATGGGAACCATATTGGTAACCGAGGTTTCTCGTTACCAAAAAAGTAAGATGTCGGCCTTTTCATTTTTTCCTGCCCAAGAAGAAGGTGGAGCCCGTGGCCGTCAGAGAAAAAAAATCTTCATTTAAATTAAATAATTCTTTTTTTTATTCATAAAAGTTTTAAACTAAATTAAATCAATCTTAAAGCTAAATAAAGCGAGAAACATAATACTAAAGCAGCAACTCTGACTCACGCCATCGCCAGCTCCATCCAGCGTGGGACTACTCTAGCAGATCCGCACCAACAGTCCTATGGTGTCCAGGTATTAAGGTTTTCGACATAAGTGTACCTCTTACCCGAACGACAGGACGAACAGAACCAGTCCTTTTAGATAATTTCTATATATTAAAAAAATAAAAAAAATTTAGTAACCAAAAAAAGAAAAGCTATATATTTGTTTGTAGGCATACCTTTCGTTCGCTCGAAGCCAGTCCGCTGGTTAAAATTGAACCAGGCGTGCGCGTAAGGATAGGATTGAGCTCAGGCCTAGTTAAGAACAATCCCGCGGTAGATTTGAACTCATAGGTTGCCGGAAACCAGTATCTACAAAAAAAACAAATTATTTAAAAGGTTATTATAATATATTATTCAATACTTACCTGAAATACCCGAACAAACTAATACTGACGGACAGAAAACCTGCACGTTCACCACCTGTCGTCAATAACCATTGATCCTTGGGAGATTAGTCCAGTCTATTGCGAACCTGGAAGTGAAAGGGGAATTTAAATTAGAAAAAAAAAAGAAGAAAAAGAAAAACTCGAAGTAAATGTTAAAACTTAAATTAAACTTAAAATCTAAAAATTTGAGTAAATCTTAAAATCTAAAAGCTAAAATCCTAAAAACTAAATTTTGTTAAAACTTAAAAACTAAATCTTGTTAAAACTTAAAAACTAAATTTTGTTAAAACTTAAAAAACTAAATTTTGTTAAAACTTAAAAACTAAAGTTTATTAAAATCTTAAAACTAAAAACTAAATTTGCTAAAACCTAAATTTGCCTAATTATTAAAAACTTAATTTGTTAATAATTATCATCTGAAGTTGGATTATTAAAAATTTGCTAATATTTTAAAATTTTTCTAAAACTCAAATTCTAAATTTCGATGAGACATTGTTAATTTTTTTTTATAATAAACAGAAACCTTTATAATGTTTAAATGAAAATTTCAGTTTGTTATCATTAATATGATGTGGTAAATTTCTAATAATCGGCGGTAAGTAGGGTGACTAAATGTTTGCAGGGAAGAGCTGGGACGTCGAGGAAGATGACGTCATGGCGAGGATGAATCCTCGAGAGGGAGGGTCGTATTGTGTATAGGTATGACCGTAGGGAGATGCAGGACTACTTTTGGCCCCTTTTCTAATAATACCCCAAATGCTGGTATGAATTTTTGTGTTAGTGTGTGTTTGTGGTCCAGATTGCCGGCAAGAACCACCCCATTCGGCGAGCTATAGCCGCGCAATACGCGGGCATACCAGCGCCGCTAGCAATCTGGCCGCTCTGTTCCTTTTTGTCTTTATGTTGTCTGTTTGTTTATTTAAACAAACAGCTGACACGACACACCACTACAATTTCACAAAACCAAAAAATGTCCTAAAAATCAAAGTATTTACAAAACCTCAAGAAGATTGCTGTAGAGTTTTCATGAAATCTTTGTTTCAAGAAATTCAGCTGTTTCGTAAATTACAATATTTTGAGAAATATTTCACCATTCGGTTGACTTCTAGATAAAATAGCTGACAAAATCAGACAAATATCCTAAAAGATCAAAAATTTCACAAAACCCTTCTCAGACAGGTAAACCGTAAAGGGCATTTTGTGAAATTTCTTATTTTTAAAATGTTTAACTAATTGGAAAGCCGTTTCTAGAAAATTAATTGTTTACTAAATTTCAAGATTTTGTGAAATATTTCCTTTTCTTGAGAAAAAGGAAAAATGTCCTAAAATACAAAGTTTTCACAAAACCTCAAAAGATTACTGTAGAGTTTTCATAAAAAATGCCCTAAGAAATCAATGTTATCACAAAACCCTCTGGATATTTTGCAATATTTCACTTTGGGAAAATTGGAAAAATATCCTAAAAATCATAGATTTCAAAAAACTGTGTTCATGAAATAAAAGATTGTAGGGAATTTTGCGTATTTTCTTAAGCAAATACATAATTTTTCGTCGTATTCTAGAGGTTTTGAGAAGATGGTAATATTTCACTTTGGGCAAAACCGAAAATGTCCCAAAAATCAAAGTTTTACAAAACCTCAAATAAGGTTATCGTAGAGTTTTTATGAAATCTTTGTTTCAAGAAAGGCAGCTGTTTCGTAAATTGCAATATTTTGTGAAGTATTTCACCATTCGGTTGACTTCTAGATAAAATCGTTGACAAAATCAGGCAAATATCATAAAAAATTAAAGATTTCACAAAACCTTTCTCAAACAAGTCAACCGTATAGGGCAATTTGTGAAATTTCTTATTTTTTTAATTTTTAACTAATTGGAAAACCGTTTTTAGAAAATCAAATGTTTAGTAAATTTAAAAATTTTGCGAAATATTTCATTTCGTTGAGAAAAGTGGAAAAATGTCCTAAAAATCAAAGTTTTCACAAAACCACAAGAAGATTACTGTAGAGTTTTCATGAAATCTTTGTTTCAAGAAATTCATTACTGTAAAGTTTTAGTGACATATTTCATAAGGAATTGCAGATATTTCTTCTTTTTATAGAGTTTTCATGAAATCTTTGGATTTGAATTTTTAACTAATCGAAAGACTGTTTCTGTAAAATCAACTGTTCAGGAAATTGCTCGATTTTGTGAAATATTTCATTTCGATGCCAGAATTGGAAAAATGCCTTACAAAATCAATGTTTTCACAAAACCTCAAGAAAGATTGACTTTCTAGATCAAATCGTTGACAAGTCATACAAATATCCTAAAAAATCAATGATTTCACAAAACCTTTTCCAAACAAGTCAACAGTATAGGGCGGTTTGTAAAATTTCTTATTTTAAAATTTTTTATCTAATTGGAAAACGGTTTCTAGAAAATCAATTGTTTAGTAAATTTCAAGATTTTGTAAAATGATCTAACAATCAAAGTTTTCACAAAACCTCAAAAGATTACTGTAAAGTTTTCATGAAAAATGTCTTAAGAAATCCAAGTTGAGAAGATAGTTATATTTCACTTAGGGAAAATTAGAAAATTATATTAAAAACTCATAGATTTCACATAACCGAAAAATGTTCTAAAAATCAAAGTATACAGAAAAAAATGGAATTCAAAATCAAACAAAAAATTCATAAAGCCAAGTATTTTTTTACTAAAATAGGACCTATCACGAAATTCGTAAAATCAAGTACTCAAATTCGTAAATTCTTTATTGAAAAAATTTCAGGATTTTTCTTATTAAAATAATATACTATTTACGAAAAACATTAATAAATAATCGCAACATTTCCAAACAATTATTTTACTGAAACAATAACACAAGTTATTAGTATTTGTACTGAAATTCAAGCAAATATGTTATCTGAAACAGTTAAATTATTTATTGTATTTTGGCAATAATAATAAGAAAATTTTTTATTGAATCTATAAAAATTTTGTTAAAAAATATATACTAAATTTTAACAAAAATTTTACAAAAAATATTTAAAACTAAAAGTAGTAAAAAAATTACATATATACTTACAACATTTTTAAGAAAACGTTTCTAATTCTAGAAACTATTATTTTGTACTGTGAAAACTGAAACACTTATACATTAAATGTTATAAACCAAATAAGAATTATATCAATTCATTTTAGTACATTCCAAAACTGGTTTTATTGTTGTATTCCATATGCTGACATAAAAATAAAACTCAAACAAAAACATTTATTGAATCAGTAAAAATATTTACTGAAAGTTAAATTTATTTCAATAAAGTGTTTGTTAGAAAATATTTTCCTTCTGTGTGAACATCAAACAAATTCGTTATAAACCCAAATAAAAATATTTATAAAAATCGAAATTAAATTTAAGCAAACGATTGTTAAGAAAAAAATTGTGCATATTTTTTTCTGTGTATTCACAAAACCTCAAGAAGATTACTGTAGAGTTTTCATGAAATCTTTGTTTCAAATAATTCAGCTGTTTCATAAATTGCAATATTTTGTGGAATATTTCACCACTCGGTTGACTTCTAGATAAAATCGTTGACAAAATCAGACAAATATCCTAAAAATTCAAATATTTTAAAAAACCTTTCTCAAACAAGTCAACCGTAAATGGGATTTTGTGAAATTTATTTTTTTTAAATTGTTAACTAATTGGAAAATCGTTTCTACATAATCAAATGTTTAGTAAATTTTCAAAATAATGTCAAATTACCATTTCGTTGAGAAAAGTGAAAAAATGTACTAAAAATCAAAGTTTTCACAAAACCTCAACAGATTACTATTAAGTTTTAGTGAAATTTTTCATAAGGAATTGCAGATATTTCTACTTTTTATAGAGTTTTTATGAAATCTTTGGATTTTTTGAATTTTTAACTAATTGGAAGACTGTTTCTATAAAATCAACTGTTCAGTAAATTGCAAGATTTTGTGAAATATTTCTTTTCTATGAGAGAATTGGAAAAATGTCTTTCAAAATCAAAGTTTTCACAAGAAAGATTGACTTTCAAGATAAAATCGTTGAAAAAATCAGACAAAAATCCAAAAAAATCAAATATTTCACAAAGCCTTTCTTAAGCAAGTCAACTGTATAGCGCATTTTGTGAAAATTCTTATTTTTATAATGTTCTTAGAAAATAAAATGTTTAGTTAATTTCAAGATTTTGTGAAATATTTAATTTCGTTAAGAAAAGGGCAAAATGTCCTAAAAATCAAAGTTTTCACAAAACTTCAAGAGATAACTGTAAAGTTTTCATGAAAAATGTCCTAAGAAATCAAAGCTATCACAAAACTCCTGGATATTTTGCAATATTTCACTTTGGGAATATTGGAAAAATATCCTAAAAAATCAAAGATTTCAAAAAACCGTTCTCAAGAAATAAAGGAGTGTATGGCATTTTGTGCATTTTCTTAAGCAAATACATAATTTTTCGTCGTATTCTAGAGGTTTTGAGAAGATACTATTTCACTTTAGGAAAATTGGAAAAATATTGTAAAAAATCAAAGGTTTCACAAAACGAAAAAAGTTCTAAAAAATAAAAGTTTTCACAAAACCTCAAGAAAGATTACTGTAGAGTTTTCATGAAATCTTTGTTTCAAGAAATTCAGCTGTTTCGTAAATTGCAATATTTTGTGAAATATTTCACCATTCGTTTGACTTCTAGGTAAAATCGTTGACAAAATCAGACAAATATCCTAAAAAATCAAAAATTTCACAAAACCTTTCTCAAACAGGTAAGCCGTATGGTGCATTTTGTGAAATTTATTAATGTTGAAGCGTATTTTTTTACATACTTCTATTGTTGAGTGCTTTGTAATGCACTCGTTGAATGTTTGTAAGACACTGAATTTATTTACAAAATTTAAATCTTAAGTACTAAATATAAAAATCATAAAACTAACTAGAACTATGATAAGACCTCATGCGACTTAATGTGCATTCAATCTTATCAAGTGAAAATTCTTATCGCTGCGTGGGTATAGCACGCAAGTGATAAAAATAAATATCATAAAGGCATGTGTGACAAGGCAAGGGTTGATTTTTCTTATCTTAGCCAGCAAAAT